TGCTTCGCCACACGGCAAACTATGCAGGCCCGCGCATTTTGTTTTACGTGCGCGCCGTATGTACAGAATATCACCAACAACCCGATACGTGAAAACTCCGCACCGTGTCAATCTCGAGGCGTTTCTCTCTCAACTTTATTTCACCTCTCGAGCGGCGTTTCAACCGTCTCCACAACTTCGCGGCATAAATAGCTACAATAATTAGAAACGGCACTACAAATGTCGATCACATGTGTGAGAAGCGGAGACGCTGCAGCGCGGGAAAAAACTTTCGTAGTTGATGATGAACGGTGTCATTGGAAACATAAGAAGGCTGCGATGTCGGGGCGTGTCATTGCATAACTTGGCCCACTGCCTCCGACATACTATAGCTTGTTTCTCGTTACAATTCCTCGTTGACTCTCGCACGTCGATCATCTGAGTCACTCTCGTGTGATCTTCGCGTACTATTCATCGGTTATACAAGGGCAGTAAAATATGCCGCCCGCCTTATAAACGCGTCTGCGTAGCAAGAAATTGAGTATGATACAGTAAAAAAAAAAGTATAAAAGCATAAAACTCAGGGGAAAATTGCTACGGTGCGGAGGAGCTTAAACTCACAGAAAACCGGCGTCTTCCTATACGTAATGTGTGTTGCTATTGAAGAAAAGTATTGTCGAAAATTGTCAAACTCAATTATTTCACCCAACTCACTCACAACTCAATTGTCGACCATCATCCATCTCACGAATATTGACTTGGCACAAAGCAACGTAAGTGTGCGCACACGCGCACGCAAACGCATGCACGCACAAGCCTGCATGCTCACAGGGCGAGAGATCGATATATCTCTTGAGATATATATATCAGGAGTAGATAATAGGCCTATTATCTACTCCTGATATATATATTATATATATATATATATATATATATATATATATATCCATCTCTCGGCCTGTGAGCATATATATACAGAGAGAGAGAGAGAAAGAAATAGAAGGAGAGGGGAGAAGGTGAGAGCGGGGAAGGGGGAGAGAAAGGGAAAGAGAGCGAGAGAGAGAGAGAGAGAGAGATAAAACACCACCCACCACCACACACACACACACACACACACACACACACACACACACACACACACACACACACACACATATACACACACGCACCAACAATATCCCCCATCCCTCAGTCGCACAACATATCCGGCCAATATAGATCTAATAAGGTTCTATAGGCGCGCGCGTGAGTAATGCTTACGAAATTGCTCGACAATTCGCCGTGTTTGTGATGCCTGAACAGGCTCCTCGGTCCACCGTCGGCGCTGTTCATCGACTGAGCAGACATGGCCGACATCCGGCGGTTGGCGCCGGTTCCGGATCCTGACGATGATATGGACGCCGTGCGCACCCTCATCGGATCGATGATCTGGAAATATCAGCAACAGTACATAATAGTATTAGTAGTATATAATATAGTAATAGTAGTATATATATAGTAATAGTCGTTTATATATATATAGCAGTAGCAGTGCATATAGTAATAATAGTATTATATATATCAGTAGCAGTGTATATAGTAGCAGGAGTTCATGAGACAAATTGTCTCATTAACTCCTGATAGTAGCAGTAGGATATATAGTAGTAATAGGGTACATAGTAGTGGTAGTGGTAGTGGTAGTGTGGTGTATAGTAGCAGTAGCAGTAGCAGTAGCAGTAGCAGCAGCAGTAGCAGCAGCAGTAGCAGTAGCAGTAGCAGTAGCAGTAGCAGTAGCAGTAGCAGTAGCAGTAGCAGTAGCAGTAGCAGTAGCAGTAGCAGCAGCAGTAGCAGCAGCAGTAGCAGTAGCAGTAGCAATAGCAATAGCAGTAGCAGTAGCAGTAGCAATAGCAATAGCAGTAGCAGTAGCAGTAGCAATAGCAGTAGCAGTAGCAGTAGCAGCAGCAGCAGCAGTAGCAGTAGCAGTAGCAGCAGCAGCAGCAGTAGCAGTAGCAGTAGCAGCAGCAGCAGCAGTAGCAGTAGCAGTAGCAGTAGCAGTAGCAGCAGCAGTAGCAGTAACAGTAGCAGTAGCAGTAGCAGTAGCAGTCGCAGTAGCAGTCGCAGTAGCCGTCGCAGTAGCAGTAGCCATAGGAGTAGCAGTAGTAGTAGCAGTAGCAGTAGCAGTAGTAGTAGCAGTCGCAGTCGCAGTAGCAGTAGCAGTAGCAGTAGCATTAGCAGTACCAGTAGCAGCCGCAGTAGCAGTAGCAGCAGCAGCAGCAACAGCAGCAGTCGTAGTAGTAATAGGGCATATAGTGAAGTACATTATAGTAGGCTACATAATAATGGTAATGATTGTGAGACAATTACCATTATATAGACAATTATTATGAGACAATTGATTATATAGCATTGCCCGAGTTTGGCCTATTTTTACGATGTTACAGTAACGTGACCCAGAATAACTACATCATGGCACTACACATTCATTTTCGTTTTCACTCATACAAATCCCGTTACAGTATCACAAATTTGGTGCAGTGTTAGTAATTTAACGTTTAAATATTAATAATTTCCTCTCTGAAAAATTTACCCAAGCGTTTTATAATATAGTTTTTACAATCGACACTGGTTTGAACAGAGCTAGAATAAATTTAATTATACCTCTCTCTGAATCTTTCCTTCATCATCATACACGCAAATTATTTTGATAAAAACCCATTTGATTGATTACCGAATTAAATTTTAGAGATCGTTTCAAAGTTACCAGTCACAGTAAAGATCTTCAGACTATAGCGCTTGAGAATATGTCGCTTAACATTTTCTACACACACACACGCACGCACGCACGCACGCACGCACGCACGCACGCACAAACATACACATACATACACGCCCGTACCCCACACACCCATGTGTGTGTGTGTGTGTGTGTGTGTGTGTGTGTGTGTGTGTGTGTGTGTGTGTGTGTGTGTGTGTGTGTGTGTGTGTGTGTGTGTGTGTGAAGCGTGCATGCTTGTGCGTGCATGCGTTTGCGTGCGCGTGTGCGCACACTTACGTTGCTTTGTGCCAAGTCAATATTCGTGAGATGGATGATGGTCGACAATTGAGTTAATACTTTTCTTCAATAGCAACACACATTACGTATAGGAAGACGCCGGTTTTCTGTGAGTTTAAGCTCCTCCGCACCGTAGCAATTTTCCCCTGAGTTTTATGCTTTTATACTTTTTTTTTACTGTATCATACTCAATTTCTTGCTACGCAGACGCGTTTATAAGGCGGGCGGCATATTTTACTGCCCTTGTATAACCGATGAATAGTACGCGAAGATCACACGAGAGTGACTCAGATGATCCGACGTGCGAGATCAACGAGGAATTGTAACCGATAAACAAGCTATAGTATGTCGGAGGCACGTGGCCAAGTTATGCAATGACACGCCCCGACATCGCAGCCTTCTTATGTTTCCAATGACACCGTCATCATCAACTTACGAAAGTTTTTTCCTGCGCTGCAGCGTCTCCGCTTCTCACACATGTGATCGACATTTGCTAGTGCCGTTTCTAATTATTGTAGCTATTTATGCCCGCGAAGTTCTGGAGACGGTTGAAACGCCGCTCGAGAGGTGAAATAAAGTTGAGTGAGAAACGCCTCGAGATTGACACGGTGCGGAGTTTTCACGTATCGGGTTGTTGGTGATATTCTGTACATACGGCGCGCACGTAAAACAAAATGCGCGGGCCTGCATAGTTTGCCGTGTGGCGAGCACGCACGCGCAGAAACACGGGCAGCAATTATGATATTCATGGCAGCACTTTGGAACTATAAGATTAGGATTTTATCATCGGAGTTCTTCTCACATTAAAGATTCAACGTTCGCTAAACACTGCCAATGCGAGGTTACGTATATATCCCGCGCAAGTACCTAAATCATATATAGACGCACACGCACGCACGCAAGCACGCGCGCGCGCATACGCACACGCACAAACACACGCACGCACGCACGCAAGCACGCGCGCGCGCATACCCACTGCTGTCTACGTGTTTGTTTTAAATAACCACGACGATGAAATGAATGTACCTGCGAAGAATAATAACGCTACCCATTACCCTCCCCCCCCCCCCACACATACAACACGCACGCACGCACGCACGCACGCACAAGCCAGCACGCAACACGACAGCACACACACACAACACGCAGCGCACGCACGCAAGCACGCCAACATGCACCGCACGCACGCACGCACGCACGACCAGCACCAGCACCGCCCACACACACATCCACAACACACACACAACACCACACACCCCAACACACACACACACCATATACACACAACGCACCAAAATATCGCCCCAATCCCTCAGCGCACAACATAATCCGCCATATAGATCTAATAAGGTTCTATAGGCGTCGCTGAGTGAGTAATGCTTTAACGAAATTGCTAGCGACAATTCGAGCACGGTGTTTGGTGATGGCCTGAAGCAGGCCTCCTGCGGTCCACCCACGGTCGGCCCGAGCATGTATTCATCGACTGAGCAGACATGGCCCGAACATCCGCGTTGGCGCGCCGGTTCCGGATCCTGACGATGTATGGACGCCGTGCGCACCCCAGCCGCCAGCGTCCTCATACGATTCGATGAATCTGGAAAATAATCAGCAACAATAGTACATAATAGTATTTAGTAGTATATAATATAGTAATAGTAGTATAATATATAGTTAATCAGTCGTTTTATTATATATATATGGGCAGTAGCAGTGCATATAGTGAAATAATGAGTATTAATATAATACAGTAGCAGTGTATATAGTAGCAAGGAGTTCATAAGAGACAAAATGTGTCTCATATAATCTCGCTGATAGTAAGCAGTAAGTTTATATATAGTAGTAATAGGGTACATAAAGTAGTGGTAGTGGTAGTGGTAGTGTGGTGTATAGTAGCGCAGTAGCAAGTAAAGCAGTAGCAGTAGCAGCAGCAAAGTAGCAGCAAGCAAGTAGCAGTAGCAAGTAGCATAGCATAGCAGTAGGCAGTAGCAGTAGCAATAGCAGTACAGTACAGTAGGCAGCAGCAGGCAGGCAGTAGCAAGTAGCAGAGGCAGTAGGGCAGTAAGCAGCAGCAGCTAGCAGTAACAGTAGCAGTAGCAGTAAGCAGTAGCAGTCGCAGTAGCAGTCGCATAGCCGTACGGCAGTAGAGTAGCCAATAGGAGTAAGCAGTAGTTAGTAAACAAGTAGCAGTAGCAAGTAAGTAAGTAAGCAGATCGCAGTCGGCAACGTAAGGCATAGCAAGTAAAGCAGCTAGCATTACAGTACCAGTAGCAGCCGCAGTAGGCAGTACAGCAGGCAGACAGCCAGCACACACAGGCAGTCGTAGTAGTAATAGGGCATATAAGTGGAAGTACAGTTATATAGTAGAGCTCATAATATAATGGTAAATGAATGTGAGAAGACATTACCATTATAATAGAAAGATTATTATGAGAAATTGATTATAATAGCATTGGCCCGAGTTTGGCACTATTTTATACGATGTTAGCAGTAAACGTGAGCGCCAGAAATAACCTAAACATCATAGGCACTACACATCCAATTTTCGTTTTCACTCAATCAAATCCCGTTACATGTATCACAAAAATTTGGTGGGCAGTGTTAAGTAATTAACGTTTAAATATTAATAATTTCCTCTCTGAAAAAATTAGCCCCAAAGCGTTTATTAAAATATAGTTTTTACAATCGACAGGCTGGGTTTGAAGCAGAACTAAGAATAAAATTTAATTATACCTCATCTCTGAATCTTCCTTCAATCAATCATACACG